GATCGAACCAACATTGAAATGTATCTTAATGAGCTGGATAGCTTCTCAACTGTTGATGATAATTTAATAACAACGGAGTTATAATCGGATAATAACATTATTACTGAAGTTTTACAGCCAAATGATCCTCAAAGCTCTGGTAACGAAAGCGACAATGTTGTTGAACAGGGCGAATTACCAAGTTATTCTGAAGCGCTTTGTGCCGCTAAAATTGTTACATTTTTTTACAATCTACTGTTAATGTAACTGATGATATTATGCAAGCGTCCTGGAAGGTTGAGAAGCACATGGCGAATATGAAATTTGTATTGAGAAAAAATAAACAAACAAAAATAACGAATTTGTTTACTCAAAAAGAATAAAGTATGTATTTTTATTTGTATGTTCTTCTTGTTCTTCGTTTAGTACCTCTATTAGTATTTATTAGTTTTCTTTTTTTATATGAAATAAACGTACGTACCTACATATTTTTTTTTGTTTTTTTTTCATAGCGTACTTCCGCTTATAGAGTAATCATTTTCTGGTCTCTAGAGGGTACTTTATAACCGGAGTTCACTGTATTTACAATAAATTCGGGGCTAAATGTCTAAATCTAATTCTGTTTCACTGTCAGAGTCGTCATTGAGCTTAATTATAATAGGATTTATGCTGGTTTCTATAGAAATGTAAGAGTCTTCATTTTTATCATGTGCTGTACTAAATTTTTCTAGCTCTCAATTGGTATGTCATTAATTTAATTTTTTATCCAATTTATAACACTGGGACTTAAAGTAGAAATAACATTTTCTGCTCTGCCCTTTAGTTTTACTTGGTTCTACAAATAGTCTATGGGGTTAAACATGCAGTGATATGAAGGAAGACGTGTTCAGTCAAATTATAGCATACATATTGTTTTTTAATTGCATATGAATTTTGGACTTCCAAAACTTGCGCATTTTTGTAACTGAATTTTCTAACAAATATTCTTAGATTTCAGTTTTTGAACTTGAAGAGGCTGGTGCTTTGCGTGGCAGACCGCTATGGTAGCTCGCGTTACGCATGACAATAACACTGTTATTGGGAATATTTTTTTAAAGATTGTTTCCAAAGAAATTTTTAAAAACTTCGGCAGCTGGAATCCTTAATATATGTTGGGGTTTTCTCATTTGTTTGATTGTTGAAATAACACCCACGCGAAACTTCTCATGCTTTTACTGATTTTAAAAGGAACAGAAATAGACTTCTACACTATCAATTTAAATAAAAATTGCATGTGGTCAATCCCCCCCGTTTTGCGGCCTATGTCTATAACAGTTTATTCGTCTCTGTCCACGCGGTTTGCAGCTCTTCCCTTTTCCGTGGCGTCGTGCGGCTTTGCCACTATTGGCTCACATTACTTAAAGTACATAAAAACTGAACAATATACTTTACAGACAACAGCAAGTTTGGGGCAGACCTGTCTTCTCACCCAGCGTGTATGATGGTGATGCGTTTTCCTTTATTTGAAGGTGTTTTCGTCTGACAATTTTGATGAGAATCGACCAACCATGTTTCAACAAGGTAAATTATGGATCGGTTTTCTAAACATTTAATTTCTTAAAGGTAATCAACCTGTGCGATTCCATTACTACTTGCCTTTTGTCTATTTTTACAAACAATGCTAGCTTCCTTTTCAGTATATTCAAGGTAGGAACAGCTTTGCTTTGATAAAGACAATATATCTCTTATGCACGATATTGGCGTTTTTGTAAGTAGACAGGTTTCTTTTAAAGCTTCTTGTTTAATTAGTCCTCTACTGACTAAAGTTTCACAACCTGTTTTGCATCAAACGACAAATGATTTCGACGCGACACTGTTGTATTCTCGTAAAATAACTTTTTCAAAGGGTACAGTAAAAACATTATTCGACAATGGTCAACACTCAAGAAATATGTCAGAAAGAAGGAAATATACCTGGCCTAGTCAATCAAGCAAGAATAATTTATTTTAATGGCTTTACTCAACAACAATAGGTAATAAGGTCGTTAAAGATTTATTGGGGAGTGCCCGCCGAAAGCCAACACGATTAAGATTGAGACTGACGGATATTTATAAGCTTTTATAACGTTTTTTATTATATAACGTTTCATAAGAAAAACTATTGTCTTTTCTAAGACCAAAAATCTTTGAATACCGTCAAAGATAAAATTCCGTTTAAGATACCAATAGTTTACAACATTCCATGTACATGAGACAAATAATATTGGAGAAATAGAACAAAAAATATCAGCTAGGCTAGAAAAACATCAAAGAGCCTTACGACTACGACAATTAAACGTATCAGCAGGTGCCGAACACAATCATGAAACCGGACATCAAATCTTATTCGATAAAACCCCAATTCTTGCATTTAAACAATTTTTCTACCAAAGAAAAATCCGAAAATCCATAGAAACTAATAACAACCAAACAATGTTAACCGTGGTTCAGTTTTTTAAGAGATGATGTTCATTTTAAAATTGATAGTGTTACCTTACAGATTAATTTACAAGAAATGAATAGCTTCGCTCACAGTTTGATCCTATGATCGCCGTGTTCTGATGTCATTGTCATCATTCGCCGCTGCGGGACAGTGGCCGTAAACGTTGCGCGGAAACGCGTAATAAACTGAAGAAAGCGAAAAGGACGCCAGGTCGGGAACTTCCGAGCGTCATCTTCCTTATCGAACGATAATGAGGATTACCGGAAGTTCGCGTCGAGTTTACCGAATAAAGTTGCGCGGGGTGGGGTTTATTTAATCGCGCGATTATCTCCGGCCGCGAAATTGGGTCGACGGCGGATAAAAAGTTTCCGAGAAAGGCGATCGAATATCGATCGTTTGACAGTCGACCCGACGGTCCCGCCAGTCGAAGGGAGATTTGTTATTTTATAAATATATTCGTTTCAATTTCCTGTTGCGCGTCACCAAAGTTTGCAGATTTATCGGGTAACTTTTTGCGTCCTCGACAATTTGCTGGAACCCCCGAGGACATGAAAAAAGAAGAAGCTTATTTGGACGGATATAAAAAAAGACGAAGGTCCGCAAAATTTATTAGTGATGAAGATTTCAAAAGAAAACCTCTAAACCACTGTAGTATTACTTTTTTGAGCAGTACATTATTTTTAATAGCCGGCAACCCAATCAGCGCTTCACTCAGTATAAAACGTTTTACTATACTTCTTTTTATATAAATACTTTGAAATTAGAAATGGAGTGACGTTTTGTCCATTTTGTATGATTTGTAATTGCAATCAAAAATAATGGTGTTCTGGTTATTTGTTTGCGATTTGGATTTGCTCCAGACACTGCTGACCACTTGATTATCACACCCATTTCGTTTTTTTTTGTATCCGTGAACTCTATATTTGACGGTTTTACATGAGAATTTAAGCTATCGGTATCGTTCATTACCATCGGATTTACTCCCTGCTACCGTTGCTTGTATGATGAACAACGCGTTGCTGGCGAATCAGCTTACATACGACATAAATAGAGAACAGCAATACAACGTGTTCCAAATATTGTTTACCTATTTAAATAATTATATTTCAGCGGCATTGTTTTCATTTAGTTTAATTTCTACTTAGAACAATATTAATAAAAAATATGTATATGGAGCCATAGCCGGCTATGCACCAAAACTAACCAAAACAAAACTATGTAAATTAAGTCAGATGTAAAACATATACGTGCGAGATCTGTAAATTAAGTATTGGTACCGACAACTTAGCATTATGTCTCGCAACACTGGATACGCTGGGCTAGGAGGGACGGAAAGAGAACATGTGATGAACTTTTAGTACGGCCTTAAACTCGCTCGAGTCATGGAACAGAAACTATTGCTACAATTCACCAGGCCTACAGAGATGGAGTTTTGTCACCTTAAACCACCGAAATACCTAGCTTTCGGCAGTTTAAGGCATTTTCGCAAGAAAGAGAGCGGATTGAAGATGAATCATGAAGCGGAAGGCCATCAACTTCAAGAACCGATGAAAATGTCGACAGATTCCAGGATCTTGTGCCTTAGTCGGTTGAGAGTCAAATGTTTACGAAAGAGTTGAATTTGACTTCACACAACCGTTGATCAATGAATTGGGGATGAACAAAATCTGCTCTGGTTCAGAAAAACCTTTCGCCAAAAGGGCATCGGGATGAAAAAGTGCCTTGACTTTTTGGAATCGATTGAAAATCATCCCCATTTTCTGGAACGTGTCAATTACTGGTGGCGAGACTTGGGTGTTTGAGTACCAGAAACTAAGCGCCATGGAGTGGCACACTTCAACCTCCAAAGGCCCATGAAAATAATGATGAGCAAGTGGAAGATTTAAAAGGCTGTAACCGGCCAGCTGAAAGATATTCTATTGGGATATATATGTCGGAGCTCGTGAAATAAATAATAATAATAAAAATAGTAAAATAAAATCCGTGGCGCGGGGGTGGAGGGGTCTGATGGCGAGCGATGCGACATGGGGTTAGACTTTTCGGACATATTAAAAGAATGCGCAACATAGTTCCTAAAACAAATGAACAATTTAATCACTTAATTGATTATTAATGGGAATACAACGATCCGCGACTCACTAGATCAACTACAAAATAGCTTATGAAACATAAACCATCTTAAAATCCGACTTAACCAGTGCTTTTTTAACGCCAGACTATCTTCCTTAAAGGCCAAAGTGGATTTCTCTGGGTCCACAATGGTACGAATAACAGAATTATAATAGTTTAGGTTAGACCGATTCCAAACACCCAAAACGAAATATGGGAAAATATCGAACACTTAAAGCTAAGGGTGCCGACATATATTTTTTAAACCAGTCTCATTACTTAATTTTCAGACGTCGTATGAGAAGTTTTAGTCTTCTCACGAATCGCAATCGACGAAAGTACGGTGTCAACAAATATATATATACCAAATTTAAATAAATACATAATGTAAATCGCAGTTGAATTATTTATAAACTAGCAAAACTAATTAATATATGTTTTACATACACACCCTCCAGTTCAGTCGGACCGTAATGACCCACATGCAGTCGATCGGCAGGCCGTGTTGACTGTCATATCTAATTATTTTCTGGTCGATATCGTCACGGCCCAGTTTACCCTCCTCCTGATTGGTAATTTCCTTCTTGCACTCCATACTTTCGGGGGTGCCGGCTGAAAGCAAATTAGAAAAACGCAATTTAATAAGGAAAATATGCTCGGCTGTCAACTGGCGAGACAGAAGTTGGCGTTGATTAAAATCGGCGAGCTGAATTTTGCGTAAATTTATACTAACCCCTAGCTGCAGAAATTCACGGCGAATGTAAGAAAACTCCGAAGCGAATTTTTTAGAAGAATATTGTGTAGCACAGGGTGGGAAAAATTGACCACAAATACGGAAAATGGATATCTGACATCGTTTCAGAGTTATAAGGTATAAGGTAATAGTTTAATAGTGACCAAATCAAAAACTCTACTCTTACACGGGACATCAATTTTTTGAATTACTTAAAAGAACTTTAAATTACTATTTCAAAAATATAGCACACTTCATATTTTGAATTTGGTTGTTATTATGTCTAGTTTTGATTTTTAGTCATTCGGACTTCAGACACAACAAACAATTTATACTACGAAGAATATCCTCAGAGAAAACAACCTCGAGATATTTTATAAAGATTGTAGCACAAACGAATTCGCAGTAGTCCACGTAAAAAGAAGAAATCTGCTCATAGAAACACAAAATTGTTCAATACAAGAAAGTTACATTGATCTTTGAAAAACAGCCTTTAACTCTGAAACGGTACTGGATATGCATTTGCGATTTTTGCCTCTATGAAAATTGAGCTCCGGACATTAGTTTTGGTTAGTTTTGTGTACAGTCAGAATCACGGTGGATGGAACATTAAACGTTTTTGGAAAACATGACGTAGCTATTTGCTCCTTTATCGGCTTGATATCTTTTCAGTGAGAATGAATATTGAAGTGGTACTAGGGTAAGGTTGTTTACCAACTGCCGATAATTTACCAACTAACCAAAGAATTCAGATGTAGATTCGTGACCCGTGGACCACAGCTTACACTAGTAGACAGTAGATTATATGCATATAGGGTCTCAATAATTCACTATACAGAGTGTGTCTTTGAAACCTGGGAATTTTTGGGAAACAGTTTTAAAATTCGTGCCCAAGAAATCAGGTAGAAATAGAGTAGAGTAGTGGAGGATGCATTGTAGATATTACAGCAATAACTGATAAATAAATTTTCTCTAACTTTCAATCGTTATCTTGTACGGCAGTTTTCTTGCGTTCAGAACAATTATTCATTTATTCGTCCATTTATCAGGGGCTACATGAATGTTTACAAATTTGAAAATGTTCACAATACTAATGTCACATGGCTCAAGATAATACCTGACAATGTACGTAAAATAAATATTTATTAACACAAGTTGCAATGCAAATATAAAATTATATATAAGAAGCAAACAACAATTCATGGAGCTGAAAGTCATTTTGCTTACCTAGCCCCAGAAAAACAAGCAAATACTGCTATGGAGATGAAGGTTGTTTGCAATCATTGATAAAGCGCTATTTAAATTGTAGAAAGACTGATGAAATATTATAGGCGAAATAGGAACGAAAACTTTCCCTTATATATAGAAGTAAGAAAATAATTTTCAATTTCCGTAAGGGATTTGCTTTGAAAAATGAAGCAATTTAAAAAAACAATTCTAAAAAGAAATATCATTCAGCCAGAAACTTAAAACGACTACCCGCGTTCAGGTCGAGTTTGTGAGAATTTTTCAAATTCTTCTTTAAATGAACTGAGAATACTGGCCGTTAGTCAACTTGTCGAAACGCAATAAAAATGGCACAAGGTAATATAAGGATAAAAACGCCCGCTAAGACCTTGTTAGCTGCTTCATTAGTTGCTCTCTACTATTTCCATTAAAACAGTTTTCCTTTTCAACTTTTGCCCAGATGTTAGCAAACGCGACAACCATCTTGCGAAGAGCTTCTGCATGTGCAAAATATTATTTAAGATATTGCCAACGCGCATTTCAGTTATTGTCACCTTCACGGGACATCCGGCACCTGACTCATCATTAGTGCCATAACCATTGAATAAGATAGTGAAAAGCCTTTCAGTGTGTTATCGATCTCGATCGAAGGTATTAAGCCCCTTAAATATTAATGTTTAATAATTGCAAGTCGATTAAAATAAAGGTCACTCTCTTAAGAAATTCCTACTGAAATTTTGCATAGTTTAAGCAGAAATTGAGGTTATGTGTTATTTTTTTCATATTTCGATTGTTCCATATAAAATTGTGTTATGATGCTACTGATCCAGGTATTGCAACGAAAATTTAACCACAGACTAAGGAGATATGCACTACCCAATCAGTTTGATAGATGTGCCTCAGATTATCGAGAGCGTCCCAAATAGGACAAAAAATAAGGTAAGTGTGTAATTTATCTTATATTTAAATTTTACTTACTATTTGAGGTTTTAGATAACACCCGTATAAATTCTTGTTGAATTTAAAGCTGCCCACATTAGGTGACTTGTTGGCAATATTAGGTATTTTTTAAATAGCAAAGACATGATACTATTTCTTTTAAAGATGTAATACTCCAGGTATATTGGTATCAATACAGGGTGTCTATTAATACGTGAAAATTTTGAAAAAAATCGATTCTATACTATACACTTAACAAATTTAGTAATACTTCATAATTCATATTTAAAGAAATTTTATAGGCTAACTAAACAAAATAACAAATTTGAATAAATAAATCTATAAAACAAAAACTTAACTAAAAAGAGTTCGTTAATTCGGTCCATAAAGTTTAGTTAAAAATGTTCCTCTTAAAATGCTCGTTTCATCTGGCAGCAAAACAACAAAGAATTATCACAATATTTTTGTTTGACGCATTAGGATATATACAAACTGCGTCCAATATAATACATCTAACATACTTACTATGCTACGATAACTTTTAATTACAAATTGGCTAAGGTTTTAAGGAGATGTCACACTTTTAAAGACTTGGGTATAACGTTTAACAAAATTTAGCAAGTCTTTAAGGATCATATTGATCAATACTCGCTCTCAAAAGGCGGGGTTTCATAGTGAGAATGTCTCAAACATTATTACTTATAAAATGTTAAACGTGTTTCGCCAACAAGCCATCATCAGACCTATAAAAGCAATTTATTGAAATAATAAAATAACTTACATATATTAAGAATACACACATCCAAAGAAGTCAACTCAAACCCACACAATTTGGAATAAGACCGAATCCGTTTAATTTTAGGGAGATCTAAAAAAAAGGATAAGGAATGTTGGGATTAAGAAGTATAAAAAATATAAAAGTTAGGGTTACACTTTAGACTTGCACTTCATATTACTAAAAATTAATGTCGGCTCAAAATTAAAAATGTCACTGATGCAATCAAGGTTGCGACTCTTTTTGGCTTCGATGATTTCTAATTTCTCCAGAAGATAAAGTATTTTACTTTTGGATCACTCGTGTAGTAATAGTAGTGAGTAGCGAAAGTCTCTGTCCCCTCAGTGTCCTTGTACTTTTTTGATCAAACTGAGATGTTCGTGAACCCTGATAGAGATCTTCCCGTCAGACTGTCCGATATAAGTTGCATTACGATCCTCACAATTCAAAGAATATACTAGAAAAATAATCTTTTGGACGCTTAACTTTTATTATAAATTATATTAATGTATTTCAAACGCTGTAGATAAATCCTGCTCTTGAACAAATTAGCTAGGAAGCATTTAATAAGGAGTTGATGACGATAAGACAAATTGCAATAATAACGGTTATCCACTTTGTTCAATCAACAAATTATTTTACAAATTTGCTAACAGTTTTGCTATATAATAAAACGCATAACTTTTGTCGGTAATATTTCGTTACACCTAGAGCTTTGCGACACTGCCAGCCGAAAGCCGCAATAAAGCCATCGTGGTCTCCATATCCCTTGTAGAATGCAGTAGCAGCACAATTCACAATAATTTTTTAATTCGATCTAAATCCTACGAAGCTTATCTCCGTTTTTCAGCCTTTTCTCAATATTTTCCCTTTTCGGTTTGTGCCACTGTTGCATTCGGCGAACAACGTAATCTCTGTGCCGAGCTGCCACGTGTACTCGTTTCCAACAAAACGCGAAAGCCTGCAATATATTCACTTTGTGATTTTAAATCGGTAACTCCGGACCATTGGATCCTTTATAACGATAATGAAAAATGAACAATAAAATAATAGTGGCGTACGTCTACACACTGACTTAATAATAATAATAATAATCAGACTTTAGTAAAGACAATTTATAGGGTGTTATTTAATAAGTAACCAATATCGACAGGGTGATTTGTCAAGTATTTTTAAGGTAAAAAGTAACTAAAACGTTATATTTTTATTCTACTTCGCATGGGTTTTTAAAAAAGTGAATCATTTTCAAAAAAGAAAAAATCTCAAGTAGGTTAGCAATTAGTTACTTTAGTATTATGTAGTAAATATCAATGAGCTTATTCTGGTCGTATTTTTTACATGACGACACAAAGAAAACGCATTGCATAACATACTTACTAGCTTACTCGCTCTTTAAGCTTCACTTTATTAACCAAACTATTTCTAAAATGGTTACTCCTAGGGATTTCTAATAAGATGAACGTTTTTATGAGAAAATGATTAAGGAATTCATTTAAGATGCTAGGAGTTTGCAGTATTCCATGCATATGCGGTAAAGAATAAAGAATACATTGCAGAGACCGGACGAAAAATATCAACTAGGCTCAAAGAGCCTTAAGACTAAGAGAAATAAACTCATCAGCAATTGCCGAACACAATCACGAAACCGGACATAATATTTTTTTCGAAAAAAACTATACTAAACTAAACACTACCAACGAAAAAGCTGAGAGTCCTCAGAAATCTATTAGCAACCTAACAGTCATCCGAGATGGTGTTTATGCCCTTCATTTAGCTCCGTCCCCTTCAAACAATATATAAGCAAGTACAGAGTAAAATGCGAGTCAGTTTCAGTCAAGCTCTGAAGAAGCCAACAAGATGATTGGCGACAAATTAGCAAGTTCGACTCAACAAAAACAGACGCAGGAGAATTCCAGAAGTTTTGTAAAAAGTGTGTAA